GTCCCCGCGCCGACCTTTCGGTTTTGAGGAGAAACGCGTCCTTCTTCCCCTCAAAATCCTCATATTTCCCCTCAGGAGAGGACTCCGGGTCCCCGATGATTCCCTGTCTTATGGGGTCCCTCCGGGAAAGGTTCGGTCTCCTCCCGCGGTGGAACTGAACAAGAGAAGAAAATGGGGGGGGTTTATTGAGTTTTCAGAGGAATTTGGCGTTTTAATGAGGAAAGATTTGGAGCGAGGAATGGGAGTTGGAGAGTGGGGAAGGTGGCAGCCTGCTGTCGCTTCAAACCCAAGGGAATGAGGCTGAAACGTTCGGGAAAGGGTTTATTTATCATATCAAATTCCCGCCCACATCTGGGCTGGAAAAGGCAAATTGAGGCTTTTCCCCCCCTTTTTTTCTTACAGGTGCAGGGACTGAGCGGTACATCCGCGTGGTTTCCCCCAGTAAAGATTCCCCCCTCCGGCCCGAATTTGGGGCTCGCTTGTCGTGAGCGTGCCAAAACACACAGCAGGCTGTGGCGTGGGGGCGGCTCTCGTCCGTCTGTCTGTCCGTCTGGGCTTTACTCACAGTTTTGAGTTCGATCCTGCTTTTGGTTTTGGGGTTTTTTTATGATTTTTACCCGTTTATCAGCGGGGCAACACGTTGCTGGGCAGGGCGATGTCGGGTCCTTTTCTCGGGGCGCTGGCCACGCCTGGCAGAGTTTGTGGAGTTTTGTGGCAATCACTTTTGCTTCCCGAGCCTCTTCCGCGTCTAAATTAATAAAGTATTTTTCCACTCAAGCAAATATTAGTCAGCGATGGAAAAACAGCTGAACCGGCAGGCCTTGAGGTAGACGTGTTCCCTCCCCGAGCGGGTTCCCAACGCTTCACCCACGGCGTTTTGCATTTGTTCTGCCTTTTATTTTGGAAGGAGAGGTTGGTTTTGAGGAGAGGTTGGTTTTTCTACCCAAAGCAGGGGTAGAAAATGAAGGTTAGATGAATTTTCCTTTAGGGGAAAAACTCTTTGTTTTTTGGTAAAAGCAAGACACCGCCTTATCTAAAGGTTTCCATCTGCTACGCTCCAGCAAACCCCCCGTGTCTGTGTCACAGCCACCAGCAAAGCACTCAAATTCTACCTCTCCGTGTGGGACTCTGCGAGCACGCGGTGACTTTGATATCTCCGGGCACGTGGAGCGTAAACTCCTCGTCGTCAGCTTTGTCCCCCTCGCGTCAGGGTAACCCAGCAGCTCTGGGTCTGGTTTAGGATAACGAGGGATCGCAGATTTTCCTGTTTAGATTTTGCCAGGAGATTTTGCTCGCGGAGTTTTGCGATTTTATCGGCCGCAGGTAACTGGGATCAGTGCTGTGCTTTTTGTAACCACCTCTGCTTCCCTTCTGCTCAGCCATCTGCCATTTATGCATCATCTTCCTTCCTTTATTTTAATGTTTTCTAGTCACGTATTTATTGTTCCTTTCTCTACTGTTTCTGCCAATGTTTGTGAAGTGTTTTGAGGACCTTCAATAGGGAGAAAGTTATAAAAATACAAGTTATCAGTGAAGCAGCTTTTTGCATAGAAGGATTTTGCATGCCCAAACCATCTTCCACAAACAGGCAGTATTACGTTTACCAAACTTGGTGGTTTACTGCCGTTTTTCCATAACCGAGGCGTCCGCCGCGTTAAAGGCATCACGTTGGCTCAAAAGAGAGGTTGAATTTAATAGTAAGGTTTGTGCAGGGTGGAGCGAACCACTGCTGCGTGTGGAGGAGGGTTAATCCCGGTCTTATTCTCTGTTGTTTTGTGAAATTAATTTGGGGTGCTGCATTTTGGGGTGGAGGCAAACGGGGGGCTGCGAGGTTTCCAAGGGACAGCTGCGGTTGCAAGGCAGGGAGGGCGGCATGAGATAACGGGGATGGCTGTGGTGATAAGAGGAGCTGGGCGAGGAGAGAGGAAATAATTCGCCTTGCTGCGGTTTCCTCCACGCATGGAGGCGGTGGCTTTTCTGGAGAGGGGACAGGGAGAAGAATCATGTTCTTCTGGCAGCGCTGTTATTTCCTTTGTTTTGCTTGCTTTACTCACCGTGCATCTCCTCTCCTTGGCTGTGCGTGGCCTCTTGATTGGGGTTCCTTGCTCCGTACGGAGGTTCTACCCCACGGCACCATGCAGGATCCAACCGTCATGCAGTATTGGTGCCTGCAGCCCTGCCCAGGTCACCTCCGGAAAAATCCGTGTCCGGTACCTGGCCAGTGTACAAAAACATGCTACAGACCAGATACTGATTTAATTTTGCTGCAGTTTTTTATTTTGTTTTAACAACAGAGCAGAATGGGTCAAAAGCTTATTAAGCCGTGCTGCTAATGGATGTAGAGTGAGTGCCGGGTGCTTAATTCATTGTGTGAGGTGTTAAGGCCGAACGCTCATAAATCCAATCCCAGCAAGATGACAGAGGTAAAACCTCACTTAAACCGATTAATTTGTCTCTTCCAGCGTGTCTGCGCAGGGAAGCTGCCATTTAAGATTTGCGCGTGCAGTTGGGATTTATTACAAGCTCGCCTTCTCTGCGGGCAGCAGCGTTACTGCGTTGGGCCGGGCAGGACGCGTCCGGTAACGTGAGAGGACACAGTGGGACTCTTCCCATCACAAGCTAACCTTTATTATGCCGGTAACATCTTAAAAAACTTCGGAGTAGAGACTGCACGCCTTCATATAGGGTGCAAACGGACCTGTGTTTGCTTAGGAAGGGACCCAGTCTGGTGCAATACTGCTGAGGCGTTTAATTGTGTCGTTAATGAGAAGGTAGGAAGCTCACACTTGTTTCTAATCACGTGTTTCTCTAATTCTGATGGCTGTTGTATGCGGTTCTTAGTATTTTGGGGTTTTTTGTCTTGTCTTTGGCACCACCTCTGATGATGGATCTCCGCTTAGAGAGCATTAGTGGGATTCTGTGTGATATTTCTGAGTTGCTGGAGTAAAGCAGTGAAAGTCTGTAGCGTCTTCCAGACCTTAAGACATGTAGTAAACGTGGTTTTTTGGATCTGCTACTTGCGATAGCATCGGGTAGAGCCGTAACCCATCCAGACGAGGACTGCGAAAGCTTCTCCCACGCGGCTTTGCTAGTCCTGACCTGCAGCAAACCTGGTGTTGCTG